TTTTTAAAGAGCTCAGCATACACTTTTTTGTTGTTTTTGCAAATGTCCCCACTAGTAAGGGGATAAAAATTGAACAGTTCTCTGCTCCAGATCATCTTCTTGGTTCTTTCGGTAAAGTCACGTAGAAGGGAAATAATACAATAATATTTTAGTATTTGATGTTTTATTTTTATTATTTTATTATTTCTCTTCTACGTGACTTTACCGAAAGAACCAATAAGATGAATCCCTGCAGTCACAAAAGCTTTAAATCGAAATGCTCCCGATCAGTTTACTCATTCGAGAGGTTTTTTTTTTATTTTTCCATCGAGTCAAGCAAAGTTGTGACATTGGCCACGCATCTCCAAAGCAGGGCAAGGTGGACTGTTCCTGGCACGCCACCACGTAGCGGGCGCTGCCAAAGTGAGCTCATTGGATCCACGCCGTAATGTATCACAGTTCATTAAACCGCTTTCGATTGGCCACGTCAGTACCTACTCGTTCTACTTTTGGATCGGAAACGAATGTTTAAAGTCAGAGTACAGTCTCATGTGTCACGGAGTATACAGAGTCCCTGCTATAAATATGACGGCAGTGATAATGACTGTCTGTTTGTGTTTTAATTGAATAGTCTAATGATTTAGATTTATTTTTATTCATCACACATTGTCTATTGACTGACAGATGAAGGCCTTCCCTAGCTGTCACCATCCCTCAGAGTCCTTTGATGGTATCTCATTGCTTCATCTCTGTGGTGGTCATCCCCTTGTAAGTGTAGTTTCGTCTGTGCGTGCGGGTGGCGTGCGTCGCACACACAGTCAGCTGGAGACGAGGTGGTCGCAGGAGGCACCGCTCTGCCCTCTTTATTCGTTGTTGTTGCCGAGCTCACACCACCACTTGGGCCCCCTCTCTCTCTCTCACACACGACCCCGCTGCCGCACGACCCATCCCAGACACGACCCTGTCCGCGTTGCACCGAAGGCATCGACCGGGACAGCCAACCGCTGTCTGGCCACGCAATGATCGGGCGAAGGTGGCAGCGACGAGGGCGGCGACGACGACAACGATGACGAGTCCAATCCCAGAACCGGCAGCCTGGAGCTCTCACTCTCAGCTGCTTTTATTCCCCTCGGCGCGGCTTGGCTCCGCCCTAGCCGCGCCTCCCTTCTCGAACCCTCTAGAGGGTTCCAGGGGCTTCCACACGAAGTCTATCATGACCCTTGTCCCAGTTCCTCCGCCCTGCTGGCACGCCCGCGTATATGCTCAGCGGCGTGTGCGCTAAGTGCCCACCTGCAGTTGCTGCTGCTGTCCAACAGTCAGCGCTATGTCACTACATATGTATGTATCCCTCATAATCAACGTTTTTGGGTTTAGATCGCGTTATTTATAAATGTGTCGTAACCCTCCACCACCCGACATGGCCAATCAGTAAAAAAGTGTCACGTTGACAAAAGACAAATAGTTCACTGTTTGTAAATGTTGTGGTTTCACGCTTCAACACACCAGTGGGCTAAAGCAGTGAACTGTTTGTCTTTTGTCAACGTGACACTTTTTTACTGATTGGCCGTGTCGGGTGGTGGAGGGTTACGACACATTTATAAATAACGCGATTTAAACCCAAAAACGTTGATTATGAATTGTTTACTTTTCTTGTACTTTGCACACCTATCGTGGTTTGTACTGTTTGTTGTAACGTTCTTACCCGCCCTTGCTGGACCTCTGTGAAAAAGAGCTTCATAGTTCATCAGATTCCTCCAGGATAAATACACATTCTGATTCTGGATCACATAGCATGAGCGGCAGTGTGGACTGATTGAAAACTTTCTTCTGAACCCCATTTTGCATCATCCAGTTCAGTTTTTTTTAAGTGCATAACCACGATATTGTCTGGCCCTTTATTATTACTTTTTAAATCTGGATCTTCCTTCCATTAATTGCCCGAGACAATCATAGTCTCCTGTATTTTAAGCAGTGTCCCTTATATATATAATATACATAAATGTTGCAGGCAGCTTCTCCAGAACGCATTGTGTTTGCAAAGTCTGTGGTCATACACAGTTCCTCATTCATATTCATGGAAATAATATTTTTCCGTATTCAAGTTGATGGGTGTGAGTGGGTCAGGGGGAAGGTCATTCTGCTAAACCTTAAGCTAACGATGATTGGCAGTGCAATGACAGCATGGGACTCGCTGTGCCCTCTTTCGAGCTGGGCTCTCAACTTTTGCATTGTCTGCCCAGCAACCTCTGGCATTGCGACATTGAATTTGAATAAACGTAGTGTGAAGGATGCCAAGTTGAACTGTCAGCGCTGTATGAAGGTATTTTATGCAGTGTTTTTGTTATAAAAATTCCATTTCAATATATATTTACTGGCGTATTTCTTATTCTAATGCATACAATGTGACTAATCTTGCACTGACCAGCGTGGCGAAGTATGGTCAAACAAAATACACAATGTGAGAATGATATTCAGTGACGTGTTACTCAGAACTGCATTTGGTTAGACACCTCGAAGCAGGACCCTCATGAAACACAATCTTCAGACGTAGTCAGGCATTCCTGAAGAAATGGTATTACAGATAAATAAAGAATTTAGATGCTGATTATTGATCCAAATATATATTATATATATATATAATTTTGATTTAAAGCTTTCGTGACTGCAGGGATTCATCTTCTTGGTTTTTTCGGTAAAGTCACGTAGAATGGAAATAATAAAATAATAAAAACAAAACAGAATAAAATAATTCTCACGACGTTTCGGCCACAACGCAAGCAGCCGTCATTCAGACTCTGTCTTCTCGACAGACCTATTCTTCACCTGAGGACGGCTGCTTGCGTTGTGGCCGAAACGTCGTGAGAATTATTTTATTATGTTTTATTTTTATTATTTTATTATTTCCATTCTACGTGACTTTACCGAAAGAACCAAGAAGATATATATAATTGTCACAAAGCATCAAAGTGTCAAATTGATTGCGAGCGTTTCCCCGAGAAATTTTTCTCTTGACATCGTTTCGGCAGGAGGGCCACAGCGGAGGAATGTGCGCTAACTCACGACATGCATCGGTCGCAGACACGAAAAACCAATTGCAAGAGGTTATCAGGTTTGCCCGACCAAAGTGACTCTGTGAAATGAGGGCAGAGACTTTTGTTAAGCCGAGAGCTCTTGCAAGGGAATGTGGCCGAAATCAGCGTGTACTTTGAGGGCGTTAAGAAAGGTGTCCCAGACACTGTTGTTATTGTTGTTTATTTTTATTTTTTTATCACCTTGCACCTGCGTTTAAGGGCAAACCATTACCTTGTGATCGTAGGCCAGACCTCATCAGACACTTCAATGGACTCGTGTGATGGCATCATCAGGAATTCTTTTTTACAGGTCAAACTGTCCCAGCTAACAAAAGACACGAATGACCCAGGGCCTCCTGAACCCTCCCTATTTATCTCGAAATGAATTCATTGGCGACAGTGACATTTCACCTGGGAGACCACATTGTACGAAGGAAGATTGAGGTTGGAATTGCATAGGAGGGGTGGCATTGAGTTACGGTGGCAAGGTCTGATGCAAAGTGGCCCTTTGAGATGTAGTACCTTCAGTTTATTGCTGCTCACAGCTTGCGAATTACAGAATGGGACACAGCCTGGATACCAGTGCTGCCAGTATGATTTGTAGTAGTCCAATGTTGTTATTTACTCATTGTTACGTGTTTAACGGTTAGCACGGTTGGCTACGCACGGTGCGAGAGAAGTTTATGAAAGAAGTTCAACATATTCTTGGTTCTTTCGGTAAAGAAAGAACCAAGAATATGAATCCATGCAGTCGCGAAAGCTTTAAATCAAAATTTAAGTTCAACACACACACACACACCTCCGATTAGCACGGTTCGCTATGTACAGTGCGAAAGAAGTTCAACATACATACGTCTCCGATTATCACGGTTGGCTATGTACTGTGCGAATAAATACGTTTAACATAGAGACATGATCACTGCAAACAAAACAATTATCTAGATTTTTTGATGTTCATTAATTTTTCTAATATCTTCAAGTTTTCTTCATCACTTTAACAACGAATACCCATCCAATGTTAATGCTGCAGCTGGTGTCCATTTAAGCAGCAAAATAACGGCTGGCAGAACAATATGTGACGATGGTTATGTCTGTGAATTGCAAATGATAAATGTGGTCGTTTTCAATAAGCAGAGTGAGCTGATTTATGTGGCAGTGTGGTTAATTGAAAGAAAAAAAATCACTGCGATGGTTTAATTACGTTTTCATTAATTAAGCCGGGGATATTTTAATCGTGTTCTTTACCTTTTTTTTTAAAGACGAGAAGTAGGACAAAGGAAAAAAAAATCACGCAGTTTTTAATGTCATGGTTTCAACAAACATTAGGAAAGTGATTTCGCCAAGTCCCATCGGGGGAGAAAAGGAAGGATAGGTTATGTTGACTTTTGGGAGGGATGCCAAGTTTCAGCACCATGGACAGAGGCAGAGCGCCGGGATCTTGGCATAAAAAAAACAGCCTCAGCGTGTGACAGCAAGCATTGTTATGCATTGATGCAGTGCCACAATATAATCCTCCACTCGCAAGGATAATGACGAACAGAATTTTGGCCCTTGCACTATCCTTTTGGAGGATTTCTGCATTTTCATACTAAATCCGCATTCAAAGGAATATTTATTGCCAATGAACTGCACAAATAACTTGTCGTCTGTTTTTGCATTCTATGTACGTATTAATACAGTTTATTAAAATGGATGAACAAGCGCCGAGTAACAGAAGCCACGTGTTGTTTTGCAGCTGTTTGTTCGTATATTTAATGTGTACCCTAATTGTATTTTTTTTCAGCATTTCAAACAAAGGTGCAATGTTTATTTCATGAATCGCTGACGTGTGCTCGCTAAAGTAGAGCACACGTAATCTGTGCACGGTTTACATTTATTTGTTAAAGTTGTTTTGGACCTGATTATATTTGTTCTTGTTCTCGATCTTTGCTTCCTATTATTCCCCCTAAGGTTATGAAAAGGCCACCGAGTCCAATGAGGAACGTATACGGAGATCCTTCTGCTTGGAGCAATGGATTTCTCTCGCGGGAAATCCCTGCAAACCGCGCCATCGTTCCCCCGTCAACCTCAGAATACTGGGATGCTGCAGGGGGACCTGACAAGCCCCCAGACCCCATGCTGTACACTGGGAACGCACTCCCGGAGATGCAAGGGCCCTGGGCGCGCAGTGACTCTCGCTCCGTCAAGCTGGCAGGTAACCTAGCAGATCCCGTGACCGCCCCGGCTGAAACGTGGGACACTGCTCCTCCGGCCCAGCATCTCTCTGCGAGTGGCGTGGTGCCCGCCTCTGGCTGCTGGAGCAACGGCGCTGAGCCATTGCCAGCGATGGCACAAAACGAGTTTGGGCTGCCCATGATTTGGGACGTCGGCCGAGACTTGCCGAGAGAATGCCCGCAGCGTGCCGAGGCACCCGAGGAAGGACTGCATGGGCCTCAAGATGTCGATGGTCACCGGGCGGCCAAGAAGTCCGGCGTTACGTTCTGTGAAATCTGTAACATCCAGCTCAACTCGCGAGCGCAAACTCAGATCCACTACAACGGGAAGTCGCACCGCAAACGGATACGGCAGCTGGCTAAAGGCTGGCTGGTCTGCACAGGTACTGTATGCCTTTTCTTTATTTCGATATTAAATTCTAAATATTTTTTTTTCCGACAATTCCATTGGAAAACATACTCCCAAGCAATGTGTACATATTTAGTCAAGTATGATTGTGTTGAGTGTTTGCCTTGCAAGCAGGAGAATGTGAGAATGTTTTGCCAAATGTGTGGCTTTTCAGTTTGAACGTCACCAATGCTGGGTTAGGTAAACCACTGGCTCAAATTTCCACAAGGCAATATTTGGCATGTACACATCACGCCGCACTATGTGAATGACGTCATGCTATATATATATATATAAGAGGGTATCTGTGATATGATATTTTCAAGGTTAATATTATCAGAGTTGAAGCACTTTCATAAAATGTACTCCATTAGGCTAATGACATCTCGAAACAGGACACGACTGCAAAACGTTTTAGAAGGTATTCGTTAACCTTTGTTCATTCTCAGTGAACCTAATCTGATTATGTATTGTATTTTCTGGAAACCAGCAAGAGAGCGAGAGAGAGGACAGCAGGCAGCCGCACCACTTGGACACGTTCTCCACTGCCGGGAGAATAGACGTACTTTTGTTGCCCTTCCGAGTGGTAGGAAGAAATCACGCAAAGGCAGCGAGTGAACCAGATGGCCAAAGCAGCCCTGTCCCCTGGCCTGTGGCCTCTTATTCGCGGTTTAACTGTTTAAATGGTGCCATCTGCCATCACGCTTTATAAACTGTATGCACAATGCTTATTCCGGGATGCTTCAAGTAAACACTGAGGGCCAAAGGAAATATACAGGTGGATTAGCATTTTTGGGAAAGGGACCCAAACGTTTGATTTGAATCCAGGTAGTGGTGGGTGTTGTTTGCAGATTAATCCTACACTTCTGAGACCACATGACGGATTAAAGGCTAATTCCCCTATTTGGTAGGTTGCCAGTTGTGAGGAATGGATTCAGTTTGGGAAGGCAATGAGCTCACCTTTGTTTTATTTATCACCCACCGTGGGTTCTTCAGAGCGAGGAGACACAAAAGTGCGGGCGAAAACTCAAGTTTTCTGATGGGCTCAAACGAGACACACTTGGTGCAAAGTAATAAATAAAACACGAGGGGCACACCATTCTTACCTCAAGTTGGACTAATGCCTTGGTACTGGCTGTAGCCTATAAGAGTTGCAGAGGTGGCAGTATGGTCTGTAAAAAAGTTGCATATTTCCAAATTGCCGTTCCTGCTGTCCTCCAACCTGTACTTTCACTGCATTATGGCCACTTAGAAAAAAAGAACCAAAGACTACAATCTTGGCCGTCACGCATGCAAGTAGAAAAGTCACCTCGAGTGTTCACTGCAGCTTGACCAGTTGTGGCAATGGTCCAGTAATTGTAGGTTACATGGAGGAGGCACGAACGCCAGGTCCATGGCTGAACATTTTTCTTTTTGGCAGCAAGGGGGTGCAGGAATGGCTCTAGCCTGCATATTTGAGCCGAGCCGTAATTTGCTAAAACCCCATCATTGTATGAGTGGAAGCAACATCACAGAATGTAGCATCCTTCCAAAGAGAATGTTTATTCTGCTGCGGTGCCCATTTATGGGAATGCTGCCACGGTCGAATGGTTATCACACTAAATTAAATAACCTAGCAAAGTATCGAAATGTTATGTAAAACGACACAGAGAGTCGGTCAATTGTGTGTTGACCGACTCTCTGTGTCGTTTTACATAACATTTCGATACTTTGCTAGGTTATTTAATTTAGTGTGTTCTGTCTCCCTCTAAGCCTGCTTACCTTACTCCCCTCCCTTCGTACTCATTGACATGTAAATGTTTTCCCTACCCCCTCTCTGCCTCCGCCCCCCTCTGTCTATTTAAGGCCACCCCACAGAGACGATCACCTCTCTCTGTACCTGGGTTGCTCTCTCTATGTATCTTGGTGATATCTGTCTGCTTATATGTCTGTCTATAGTTTTCTGGTTATATTCTATGTCGCTCTTTCATTATACCTGATGATGATTGCTTGTGTTGCAATCGAAACGTCGTATGCTATTATTTAATTTATTATTTTATTTTTATACGTGACTTTACCGAAAAAAACAAAGAATAATTCCTGCAGTCACGAAAGCTCCAAAATTAAAATCGGCAAGCTTATTACATTTTCCCATCTTCCCCTACTCCTCCTCCACCCCTGTCCACCCAGCAGCAGTATAAATGAGACATCACAGTCAGTCGATCGGCACAGCAGGGTAAGGTTTTGGCACTCACATCTCTTCCAAGACGTGGGGCAAGCGTGGAAGAGGAGGCTAAAATAAGTTCAGGAGAGGTTCTCTAATGCAGTGAGTCCTCGAGCAGAGGTCCTTCTTACAGCAAGGGGCATGAGCAAAGAATTGCTGTACATTTGCATTATCTATTGTTAAGGAAGGCCACCATGCCTGTTCTTCTTTTGACAAAATTAACCATTTACGAAGACTGGCATGCTGGCCCCAAAGCACCGTCATTGTGTGCATCATTGCTTCTATGGCGTATGCCACTTTGTCTGTGTGGTATCGCATGAAGCTACATATTTCCAGCTGTGCAAAGGAACACTCTATACAAGCAGGCAGGACATGCGTGTATTCGCGTGTGCAGGTGTTGGTGCAACACGACATTGCAATTATAATGATGAACGCAAATAAGAGTAGGCTTTTTACCATTTCTGGCAATAAAACAGCTGCTCGCCCACCAATTAGATACCTATTGCGAGGCATCGGTTTCAAAGACAATGCATATATTATCAGAGCATGTTTTTTGCATGTTTTTGCCACAAGCATGTGTGGTTAATACAGACCTGATGCCTTGCAATAGGTATCTATCTGGTCTCTGAACATCTAAACACACTACTGTTTTATTGCCAGAACAGGTTAAGCCTATTATGATTTCTTCATCATTTTGATTCTGGCAAAAAGGTCCCATAGATATAATTCGCAATTATACTATTTTAAACGCAGGCGCTAGTGTTGCAGCCCCCATTAGCGAATGCTCTGTGTGTGCCCATACAGCCCCATGCAAATAGGCACGCACCAGGCATTACACACACCACCGCACACGTGTTTTAGTCGCCAAATCCCTTGCATTTAATTCCCAGTGTTGTAGACGCATAATTAGCCATTATTATGGGACAGGGTGGCACGGCAGTAACACTTGTGCCTCGCGGCAAGAAGCGTCTTGGTTTGATTCCAGAACGTGGCATCTTTCGGAGTGGAGTTTGTATGTTTTACCCTTGATTTGAAGCTTTCGTGACTGCAAGGATTCATACTCTTAGGTTTTTTCGGTAAAGTCACATAGGTAAAAAATAAAATTAAAATTAATAAAAGTAAAAAATCACGACGTTTCGGAGGCAACACAAGCTTCCGTCTTCAGGTGGAACCGTCACAGCACGATTGCATAACTTGATACAGCAATCGTGCTGTGACGGTTCCACCTGAAGACGGAAGCTTGTGTTGCCTCCGAAACCTCGTGATTTTTTATTTTACTTTCATTAATTTTACTTTTTTTTTACCTACGTGACTTTACCGAAAAAAACCTAAGAGTATGTTTTCCCCTTGGTCGCTTGGATTTTTATCCGGCTCTTCTGGTTTTTTCCCTCCACACTTATAGACACGAGTTTCGAGTTTTTGGCTGTTATAAATTCCCACGTGATAAGCCATTTCAATGAGCTATCATTTGTGGCCACGTGGTTTCTGAAAGAGATAAAAATAGCTCAGTGGGCCTTGCCTGGTAAAAAAAAAATATATCGTTTTAAAGGTTTGTTTGGTTTCTTCTCGTAGCTAACAAACATAACTATGTGATTGGTATTGGCTTAACATCCCAATGATGAAAATGTACCCCAAAAATATTCAATTGTGATTTAATGCATCAACATCGACCGCCCCCTCCCGACTGTGAAAACTTGGCAGGACCCTCCTGAAAATTAATTCTTGAGGCTCGGTGAGGTTTTCCTTGGTAAAGAAGCGTAATATTACTTGGCTCCTCACTGTATATTGTATATATATACTTTGGCATACTTTACTTGTAATGGTTGTCATTGTAATTTCTGTGGTCCATTTGACAAGCCAAAGATAAGCGTCCAAAATCCTATTCTGAAAGAAAACTCCTGGCCATCTCTCTATGTCTGTGAGATGCATTGCAGATTGCTTAACAATAACTATGTTTTATTCCACTGTGTCATTCCATTGCTCGATGAAACTCCGCTTTAGTCATGGGAGTTGTTTGACTATACTTCGCCACATTTATATATAATCATCAAAATTGTTTGGCCATTTTAAAAATGGCATGTTTTTTTTACCAAGCATCATATCTGAACGTTGATATTTTTACTCGTCATTTTTTCCCCTCCCCCCCCCCCTCCCTCGCAACAACCATGAAGGAAATGTCTTACCACAACGTCATCACGATCAGCCGAAGTGACAGCAAGAGGCACAAATGTATTTTGTGGTTGTAGGCGATATCTGTGATTGTGCTAGAGCGAGTAAATGAATCGGAATGTCTCTAAATTGTCTTCAGCAAGCATACATAACGGCAACATTAATAAAACAATCCTCACATTCGAGGTCATGAAGCCACGAGAAGAAAATCTATGCCAAATGATTATGTGAATGTGGCAGTAGGCAGATGTGCCTCTATAATGTAAGCTGCGTTAATGATTCAAATGCCGCTGTGTCCTGATGTGCCACAGATGTCCCTAAATTCTCTTTGTCTCAGTGGATCTAGAATTTGCTGTTGGGTTTCTAACCCCACTGGTATTGATTTTGAGGTTGCAGTTGTGTTCAAAGCCCATGGCCTTTTTAGTGATGCACCAGCAAGATACCTTTATGGAATATGAACTATAATCTCAAAGCAATTGTGCTTGCTGTTAAATCATTTACCTCTCACTCTGTCTTCTTTTGTGTGCACGAGTGGAGGGTATTCACGGAGACCTCGTGATCTAATATTGATTAACATCTCCATTGCAAAGTTGAAAGAGTATTTTAAGGAAAACCGTTTACTT